TTGACCGATCTCTCTGGTTTATTATATTTTCCTGCTAGTTTCTTCGTTGTGTCATAAAGCTGTCTTATATTTCCCTCTCTTAAAGCTTTTTCCACTGTCGTAGCTAGCTTTTCCACGTGTTTCTTCTTGTCGGCTCTAATCGTTATAACTTATGGCCTTGTGCCCTGTTAATGTATAACGTAATGATACCGTCAATCAGAGAACAATGATTTATTAACCACACCAATGACACAAAACCCGTACGAGCAGTCCAGAGTCCTTGTTGATCCTTCTTCCTGCCTAGCCCTGCCTGTTGAATCCAGAACACCAACCTAAGACTCTACGAGATGAATAATGTATTTCAAAGATACTGGGTTTATATACAAACTAAACAGACTTCACCATACAATAAAATGCAAAATAGCATTTGTACAAGATCTAGCGAAAAGTGGCTGTGAATAGTAGTTTCTAATTCTTTCAGTAGATCCCGTAAGACTTGGTACCCGTGGTTGAGAGTAATGTTGAGTTCGTTGAGTTTGTTAGTATATCGAAGGAAGGCTGTATTGAGCCTTTTTAATGATTTTCCCCAGCTCTCCAGTGTTTCATCTCGGCCACAACCAGGTGATGATCTAAAGCTATCTACCTGGTTGTTAGAAGAGGCATCGGCCTCATGACTTCCGCAGAATCTCGGCTTTCATCATGAGATGTCACAATTCTTCCTTTAACTCAGAGAGCAGATTTTAAATCGTTCAAATTTTTGTTCTGGTTGGCGTTTCTTTGACAAGGTCGATTTTGCGGTATAAGGTTGCCGACCCCATACCTAACCCTCCTCCTTTACCGGGGCTTGGGACCGGCAGTAACTCCAGAAGAGCTACAGGCGTTTTTTTCAAATAATAAAGGCGATACGAATCACAGATATATTTTTATTGGTGTAGAATTTCCGACGTAAGCAGAATTCTCAGAACATTTACAATCGATATGGCGATGTACCTTTCTGTCATTTCATATTACATGAAAGTCATCGAAATCCAAATGACTTTTATGTAACATAAGTGTATAGAATGAATAGTTACCCCCAGCAACACAAAAATCTCAAGCTATGGGACGGTTTGTTTCACAATATACTCTTTATCAAGTGGTATAGACATCATTTACGTTGTGGAAGTGAATCCTATGCTACTGTCCATTGTGTACCAACCAATCTAGCACTGACAAATACCTCTCTCGTTGTTCATCTTTGTCCTTACATACTTCAAGTATTGTCAGATAACTTTGGGAGTAACTTGAAAAGGCAAAACCTGACGCCGGAAAATTTAGTTAAACTGAACCAAGGATCGTTAAATTCAAGTAATGCTATCACCAAAAGAAGTGTTGTGCGAAAAATGCTAAAGAATTCGTAAACGTTTGTAAATGAAGGACCAGAACAGTGTTCCGCTTAGTCGCGGATGTTATGTCTGTATTTTACGTGGTTTAATCAGAACTTTCCGATATTTTACGACCTTTTAAAGTTATTCGTGATTATTCACTTTAAATTGTTCTGAATTTGTTTAGAATCTACCAAACCTTGTTGGAGCGTTATCCGTTTAGTTAAGGTACAGCGTGTTGGCGTTACAGCCTATACTGAACTGAATTCTAGTGAACTGTTGTTGCACAGCAAGATGGAAATGTTTTCATTATTATTCGTGGCCAAGTCAAGTCAAAAGAATCGGTGATACATTACAACTAACAATGGTAATAAAATCTGTCAGATAACCTAGAAGATTGGTGTAACTGAATCAGTAAAATGGGGGCTCAAAAAATTGGAGAGTATCTTCAACCAAATATGAGAAATAATGGTTGCCATCACAACAGACCTATTTTCTGAAAAAGATATGGTGTGGTGTCTTACACAACAACAACAATCCATCTCTAATGGTGATAAATAAGTAAAGAGTTTCGAGACGTATTACTTCATGTTTGATCCTATCAATGGATACCAGTAACTAGTTACGTCCAATAACACTAGTCAGTTTTCCTAGAAAAAATTCTGAAATTCATTAAAATATGGACAACAATTTTCCGTCATACGAGTAGCATCGTAGCCATTTACATTTGAGAAGGACGAAAACTTGCAGTGCCGTTTAAAACAAAAGTTCCCTTAACGCAGAAGGCTAAGTTGATACTTATATGTATAATATTTCAAAATATGGTGGAGTCATTGAGACTTTTCCTGACCTAAACTTAGATTTTCTGGTAATCAATCCGGATACTTTGCTACTTCACACTAAATCTTGGTGACTACAGACAGTGGCAAGGAATCATTGACATTCACGTAGTAGATACAGGTTAACCGAAACATCCTTAAGATTTTTGGCGAACAAATTGAGATTTTTAAAGATATTGCCTGGGTTCTCTTATAATTAGTTATATTCATTCGAGCTACTCAAGTTCTAATCCATTTATCAAGGCAGAATATTAGTTTCATAACTAGGTCATCGGTTTCGTGTATAAAAATTGTGGGAAGGAAACAATTACTAAAGATGTTTTCAACATCCCGCAACAGTTATTTAAATAATCAAAACTTTTAGGCCAATGTAACTTATATCACTAAATTTACTTAGCAGGGGATTTGGGAACGTTAGCTGGATATATAATCGATTTGAGGGTGTGGCTGAGATGAACCGTGACCTAAACGGTGGTCTGGAATACTACTTATGGATTATCCATTAAGAAAGTCATAGCATGTTTTGTATATACTAATAAGTGTGAAGCATATTATATTTTCAAGGTTAATGAATCTTTTAATCTATGTGTTTATAAATCGGTAGATCAAAGCAATAAGACAAGCAACTGGCCTTAAGTGTTATAAGCCTTCATTCAAATGGGGCTTTCCCAGTGAATCAGACAATGTATTGATCAAGGGTCAGTATTGTACTGGATTTTCCAGGTGCAAAGTCAATTATCACATAAGAATGACGAATAGATAGAGTAATGAGAAAATTCCACTTTTTGCAAACTCAGCAGCCACTTGAGATGGTGGTTGGGGTAGTTGAACGGAAACTTCGGATCAAAGTTTCGTACATCTTGGAAGGACTGATGCTCCCTGGCAAACTCGATCCCGTGTAGCCGAGCTTCACAGCCAGAGACGTTACCACGGAGCTATTCGGTCCTCAAATGACCCATCGACTAACTCTAACCACCACTCTTAATCTCAAAATAGTGAACATAATATCGAGTCAGTAAGAATATTAACCACATTCAAACTCAATATATTCAATCCGATTAGCTTTGAGCTGATGTTCCCTCTGGGACTCGAACGCAGTACCCTTGCTTCAAACGCCATCGCGTTATCCATTCGGCCACTGAGTGTTATGGTTTTGATTAATAAAATTACACCGAATCATAATTCTCAGGGTTAAGATCTTTTATTCTCACGAAAATATATCTTCCGATATTTGGTATTAATAGATGTGAAAAGAATCTTCGAAATGATCTCAGGGACAGTCTATACTAAATCCTTGTCCAACCACGTTCAAACGTTGATTTTCTGTATGGTAAGAATACCCAACGGGATGGATAAAATTAGCTCCCAATAATTTTAATTGAACAATTTTTAATTTGAACAAGCGTTCAGTATAGACTTGTTTGAAGCTTTATTTATCTATGATCATTTAGGTTTTGATTATTGAGGAGATCCTTCACTCATATTCTATCGTCTCATGAATATATGTCATTTTCATTCAGTAATAATTACAGTTTAGTTACTTGAAAAATTCACTATTCAAAACGACTGAACTGACTGAGATAATTTTTGGGAATTGATCTACAGCTTGTACAATCCCATAAAACCCACCAGTTGTTCATAGGATTTAACTATTCAGACTGCATTAAAAACGGTGGGATTTGGTTTAAGGGTGGCTATCTGATTGATCTGAATCACTTAATCAGAAAGTGGGACTAATCCAATTATATGAGTAATTTAAAAAAATAATCAAAAGCGTATTCATTTATAAATTTAACTCCTCACCATTCTCCTCGCAGGAAACATGGATTAATCAAAACAGTAAAGACTTTCAAATTTGTTCAAAGCAAAGAAGAATGACTGCATGATATGATAAATCTTCCGTCAAGAACTGAAAAATAACTTGTGAAGACTCGTGGAAATCCAAGAGTCTCTGAAAAGTTTGTCATTAGTGTAACCAGGGTGCTCAGCTACGGAATGTTTACTAGAGCATTTTTGTATTATTCAGTGAATAGTTTCCTCAACAAACTCTGAACAAGGACGAAAAATACTGGATTTTTTTAGGCTGTTTAGTGTCAGTAACTCTCAAAATAAGTGTTATGGATGTGTGTGCAGTCTGTTTATAGTTCGGGTTATGTTAGGAATTTACTGGTAAATTTGGATAGACTGCTTTTAAATACCAATCGAATCTCGTGATTATATTTAGCACTATCTTGTACAAATTAATTAGGAAGGTATCAATGAAATCCTTGTGGGACATTAAACTAGTATACATATTTAGAAAATGTTTACTGAAGGGGGTAATTAAATATTCAAAACTCAGATTGAGATCAGTTTACGGTGAAGAAAATATGACAGAATATACTACTCAGAATATTTTGTGTGAGGGTGTACATAGTGACCTGTCTGATTAAAATAAATCCCTCATGGCATTTCTCAATCAAACTATCAACCCAAAAACTCTTGTTCTGCATCTTCAAATAATTTGAGATATCCCTATAGAAGTTACAGCGTTTTGCTAGTTCAGCAAGAAGAACATTTTATTTAAAACCTTTGCATTTAGCTTTCGGTTGATAGAAAGTCGTCCGTTAAGAATCTTAAAAACCACTTAGTTTGAAATTTTCGAAACAAATATATCATCTTAAATGAATGGAAGAAAATAAATTGAATAAAGGTGGCCAAGCACTTTCTGTTTTCATCTGTTACATGAAATTAGTAAACGGTACTTGTTAAATTACTGATTGCTTGAATTTCGATCAAGAATATAAAACAAATAACCACGTATATAATTAAAACTGACCTTATGTCTTTGACTCAAATCCGCCTTTATTTGTTGGGTTTCTTTTTCATGTTGTTCGTTAGCTTGTTTCAAGGCAACTTCTAAATTGCTCCTAAGAGTATCCATTTCAGCCCTTTGTTTAGATGCAGTCAATGTCAATCTTTCACGTTCATCAAAAATCTCAACTAACAATCTACGTCGATGAGCCTCAAAAGAACTACGTTCTTCTGCTAAAGTTTGATTTAATCTAAAATTAAGAGAAATTCTATATTTTAGAATCTTTAAGATGAATAAAACTTAACATAAAGAAAGAAACTAGTAAAGATGACTAAGTAATTTTACTGTTTAAGTTAAACTATTACAGATAATAAATACGTGCTTCTAGAAGATATAGGTTGGCTGAAAATGGCCTTAAAGCCTTGTTTCAGTTCATCGCTACGTGCCGGTAAAAATGGAGTCGATATTGGAAAAACATCATAGAACAGTGGGGTGTTATAAGGAATAAGAGATTGAGCTATTACAAGGAATAACTTGACAATGCTGTTGAACACTTTCGTAGATTAAATTAAATAAATAGGGTTACCGACAAAATTGATAAAACAATCTCTTCATCAAGCTGCCCTTATGAGGACCGTACTATAGCGTGGACAAAATTAACAATTCATTACAGTAAACTTAAGTTAACATATTTCGATTTTTTTATTATTGTAGATGAAAGTGGGGGAGTAATGTCCGTTTATAGTCTATTTTTAAATTATTAGAAGGGGTTTTTGTGGAGATTTGGTATGTTTCATAGATGAAAGCATGAGTCAATTGAAGCTAGACCACCGAGGAAAACCTGGAAACACTGGACGGCTGTTTCGTCCTATTATGGGACTCCTCAGCAGTGCGCATCCACGAACCCGCTCTCGCGAGCGAGATTCGAACCCAGGACCTACCAGTTACGAGCCAGAGCCCTTAACCGATAGACCACTGAGCTGGCATCCAATGTTTCCAGGTTTTCCTCGGTGGTCTAGCTTCAATTGACTCATGCTTTCATCTATTTTTAAATTGCAATCCAGGCGGTTATGTATCATCAGATAGTGCATAACAGATAGCTAACTAATAAAGAATCAAATATCTGGTACCTTTCTCGTGACTAAAACTCATGAAAGATCTGTAGGTATAGAATGAGTTCCAGACTCAATGGTACAAATGAGAAAATAAATCTTTAAGTAAAATCGTATATCAATAATGATGAAATCCTCCGGCTATGTAGGCAGTAATTTTCTATAAATTATAGACTATAACTTGATCGAAAATTACTAGCTTATCAACTTCATGACCAATTCCATCAAATGAATTCACAGAATACAGACTTTCTGGTTTGGTGTAATCAAATGTCAGTAATTGTTTATTGAGAACCCTGAATCAGACAGTTACAAAGCGATTAAAGAAGCGCAAATGAATTAGCCATGAAAGGAGCTTGAGCATCCACATCATGTCTCAACTATACCAAAACCTATCTGTAGGTATACTAAATTAATAAACTTACGATTGTAGTTTGCCACCTATTAAAACTCTAAATAAAACATCCTTTTTAGGTAGAAAATTTAGAAATCTCAGTTTTTTTAGTTTGTGTCACAAAATATCGCATAATTCACATAAACAGAAAATCTACAGGAACTTTTGGAGATGGATCTGTAATTTGTTTTTTACATTTGAGCTTAGTGATGGTTCTTGCTTAAAATGAGTTCTCAATATAAATTCACAAAATGACCATTACTTCCAGGTTTTCAAAGGTTGCCCAACTTTGATCGATTTGCGACTTCAATAAGAAAGTATTAGTAATTACAAAAAGGCTATCTAACTACCGTTGTTCAACAAGTTCTCTTTCTCTAGAGCAGGCTTCATCTTTTTCTTTTATCAATGTCTGCTTTAGTTCTTCAATGTGACTCATATAAGCTTGATAGGCGCGTACATCAGCTGCTTGAATTTGTTCAGCACATGACTGACGCAAAGTTGCCATTTCAGCCTTGTGATTTGCGATCATTTGGGCTATTTCATTTTCCATCCCACGAATAGTAACTTCCTATTGAACCAAAATGAAATTATTACAAAAAATATCAAGATATGACCATTTTCCTTATATCAAATATGATCGAATCCAATTATGCCCAAATTCTCATATGACTTTGTTAATCACTTTTCCTTTATAATCTATGTTGTGTATAATAACAAAATGCAAATGATTTATAAATTAACTCCATGGACACTTATGTAAATAAACTCTCTCCATGATAAAGGGTTTATTGTATTAGTGGACGTTTCCAAAAAGTTATCCTTCACTTTATAAAGGAAACGCGAACGTCTATGAACAAGTTGGAGTTATTTAAATTTCAATCGCTGAGACTATTTCAAATATAATTTTTTCACATATAATGAACATGTATTCAGTTTAATTAAAAAGTGAAGAAAATGATCTAAGGAATTATTTTCCCGTAGGAAATAATAAAGCAAGTCCCCCGGTTGCCTAAAACAATAGGCCAAAATACAAATTAACATTGGCATGCAAGACCATAAAAACTGTTGACATAGATTTTTAGTGGCTCATTATATGACTCCAGTTGGATCGTATGATGATTGTTATCAAAAACATACATGCCACCAATCCTCGTATACAACTATCGACTTAACCGTGTTAGTAAATAACGGAATTAAATAAGCGAAATACGAGAATAGAGTTGGAATACGTATATTTCGTACACTCATTAATCTGAAAAGACAATCAGGAAACTAAGAGAAGGAAGCGTAGAGGAGAGAGTGAAGCGAAACGAAATGATACGCCGTGGATAAGGCGAGTTAGCTAACTCATATTGATCAAGGGTGACTCAACATTTATATTCAGACAAAATAAGTTACAGACACTTAATAAATAAGTAATTAGCTAATAAGTGCAAGGCCTGTCGAGAAGCTAAACTAGCCTATGTGGGCTTGATATGGTACCAGCTACTATAAGGCGTTTTGAATTTTTATTAGCCGATTTCCGACCATCTCAGTATCATGAATCAGGACATCCATTTTTTAATGGTTGTTTCTTTTCATGCATAACTAATTGTAAATACATTCAATTAATTTTATATTCATATCAAATATCAAATTTTAGGCACCAATATGGATAGCCATTGAATAACTTGTCAGTACTGCAGATGTAAATAAATAATAGAGTTTAACTAAAATTCCCTGATAACTTGGATCTTTCAGTCAAATAGTTCTTATAAGACACTGATCATGTATGTGTAGAATTAGAGAAAATAAAGAAAACGGGCAACTATATTAAATGAGCTATTTCTTAAAAAAATATGTGATAGCTTTCAACCAAAAAACAACTGCTTATTTATTCGTACACATGAAAGACGCTTTACATTTATTCTCTACCAACTTAAAGCACCACATCAAATTGTATACAGGTTATATTCTACAGACTTTCCTCTTTGTATGCTTCTAAAATGAAGTGGACAATTATCTGGAGTGTTAATAAGACGTTTTAGTGATCAAATACCAAAATTCAAAGAACACTCAATCATCATCGGCAAACACGCGTCAGCATTACCCTAATATATTCACAATGAATGCTATCTCTATTCGCTTTCCATACACTTAAAACAGTACTGTGAAGTACTTCTATACTATTGTAGGTAATGTAACATAACGCGATGTATAACGGCAGCTAAATGCAATAAAGGTTATAATAAAAAACTACTCACTTTAAAATGTTTTGCTTTTTCTGTTTCCCACTTTTCTCGACGTAGCTTTTCCGCAGCTAAATGTTTGGCCTCTACTTTTCGCATCTCAACTTTGTGTCTATTTAAAAGATAACCGAAAACACTACTTATGTGAACTTTATTGGCTGTAACCGATAATTTTAGCCTTTCTAAAACAGTATTCGTTAATAAAGCTTCTACAGATTATTATATTCGGTGAATTAAGTATATACAATTCTTTTATTAACAGTCAACTATAGACAACAAGGAGATCTATTCTAGTTTTATATTTTCAAAGCTTTCCTTTCTTTCAAACATCGCTGAGAAATTGATGATTTGATGAATGAATATCTAGTTTGGGTTAAGGATAAAAAATTAGGACAAATTTGCTATCTATACATTGAGATTTTGATTGTAATCACACTAGTAAGGTCGATAGAATTACCTAAGTTAGTGAAGCATTCAATGATTAACTTTGCACCTAGTTTTTGATCAAAACATTTTGGCAATTATGCATCTTCAGCTATTTGGACTGTACGATAATCATATCCTATACTGCGCTAAACCTGTTTATTTCTATGTAGCTGTATTTATCGAAATTCCAGAAACGTTGGTAAGAATAATTTGTTCATTAGTTTATAGTGCGGTTTTCCATTCCTTACAATTCAAATTTTATCCTATATAACATCTGTTATTACTCCCGTAACGTTTGTTAAGCAACTGGATTTGATAACTTTAAATACTCTTAAATATATATTTATGAACCAAACTACTTCATACTTGTATTACGTATCTAATCGTAAATCGAATCACTAAGGGCTATTATGTAAAAGGGGGAAAGCGTAGCGTCTTCGAAAAATAGTTGAGTTTCAGGATACTCATAAAACACGCTAAAAATCATTCTGTTGAGTCTAATTCTATCTTCAACGTGAAATGGTATGTTTTCACATGTTTTCAAACTTTTCATATGTCGTTTCCTATTGGTCAATATTCACGGTCGTCGTAACTGTATAAATATGCATTATCTGTAAATTATATTCATTCTTCTTCTGACCCCATAAACAATTCTCAGCTAACGGTTTGTGTTTTGATATATTGGAGGTTGGGGAACAGTATTGAGGTCGTACTGGGATATCTGGAGTTTATCAATCGGAAGAATTTGGAGTAGTCACATCGCGGTCCACAATATTGGGTCAAATAGTTTCATGTTGGATAGATAACCTTAGTATCACAAAATTTCACAAGATCACAAATTAAAGTTCAACTCTTCAGGAATTATAAGGAAATTTAACAACTTAATGAAGATACGTTAACATGGACTAGGTACAGTAGTATTAAACATTAAAGTTGAAAGTACTTATAAGTTGAAACCTGTCTGAATAGCAAGATTTAAACGAATGTTTAATTTAGACATGAATGTACTACGGAGTGTCCTTGAAGTAAAAAAGTGTTCATTTTATCAAGTAAACTATAGGCTTTAGCTGTTTGAGTAAAAGATATTAAACTTTTTCAATAGAGCTTGGTTCTAAAAATTTCAATGAACACGGTACTGAAAAAGTACTTTGTGTTGTGAACTGACTATACAGGTAATTGATTTTTTTTAGTTGACTGAAAAGTTAGATTCACGAAATGAGGACTAGACAAAACTTCCACTAGTCGTTGTGAAGATTATAAGCAAGTTCTAATTTTAAAACGATTGCTCCTCTTAATAATATTTTTATTCGCGTCACTCTATGCTCCTTTGTTTTTACATCAATCATTATCTGTTCTCGTTCTCTTTGTTATATACTAGGAAAAAGTAAGTACTGATAACTTACGGGACCTCTTATTAGACTATTAATCCATTTATATTCCTATTGGATAGTTGTTAAATAAGTGACCTAATCGTTTCCGTGTTCCTCTTATCATAACCTTTATTTTGACCTTGGAACTATTATTATTGATTACTTCCCCCCTAGCTACAGCCACATTGGCCAATTATTGTACAAATGTTATTTTTCTATTTTTGATATATGTGGTCTGTTTGGTTAGTATATATAACCCAGTATGCTTGTAAATAATGATTCATACTGCTGAGGCTGTTATTTGTGTTCTGACTTAACGGGCTGGGCTAGGCAGATAGGAAGGACCGAATAGCACCCAAGACTGCTCGTACGTATTTTATGTATCATTGAACGTTTATGTATTAAGAGGGCATACGTTATAACAATTGGCGACGGGGATTCTGGAAAAAAATACAGCAGTCGGTGACGTCATTTTGGAATTAAATAATCCATAATAATTGCCGGTGTTCTTTTCTTTGGATTTATTATTATTATTCTCATTTTTTTTTAAAAAAATATGTCAATTTCTCCAGCACAGCTACAGTTAATATTTCAGCAGCAGCAGCAACAGATGTTAGCTTGTCAACAACAACTCCTGGAAGCACTTTTGGGGAAAATGTCTATTCAGCAAGATATTCCAGAACATAAAAGCATAGAGTCATATCTTAATCCAATTCCAGAATTTATTTTCGATGCAGACAGCGGTCACACTTTTGAAGCATGGTTTGGCAGAATTGAAGATATTTTTCGAGTAGAATTTGCTGCTATGGAGGACACAAAGAAAGTCCGGTTGCTCTTACAGAAACTTGGTCCTAACGAGCATCAGAAGTATAAAAACCATATCCTGCCCAAACATCAACGAGAGATTAGTTTCGATGAAACTGTTAACATTCTAAATAAAATGTTTTCTGAACAGATGTCTTTATTTCGTATCCGGTATAATTGTCTACAACTGACTAGAGAAGCTGATGAGGATTATACTACGTATGCCGGAAGAGTAAATTTACAAGCGGAACGATTTAAATTAAATGTGTTAACCAGTGATCAATTTAAATGCTTATTATTTATTTCTGGTCTGAATTCTCCCAGCGATGCTGATGTTCGCATGAAGTTATTATCTCGTATGGAACATGACGAAGAAATGACGCTACAAACCGTTACTGGTGAGTGTCAACGATTAATAAACTTGAAACAGGATTCGGCTATGTTAGAAACCAAAAGTGCTGCACCATCTAATCATTCTGTCAATGCTGTTAAGACAAGTCAACGACAAAAAAGTGCCAAAAGTTATAAACATCACACAAAAATTCCTAAACCTTCAACGAAATGTTGGTATTGCGGCTCGTGGCACTTTTCAAGATTTTGCAGATTTAGAAATCATAGATGCACGGTGTGCAATAAACTTGGTCATAAAGAATCAGTTTGCCGGACAAGAGAAAATTTGAGATCAAAGCCTACGAAGCGTCCTCACCAGTTTCAAAACAAATATATTAACAGTATATATTCTACACGAGCTCTAAGTATGGCAGATAAAAGAAGGTATGTGGAATTATCGGTTAATGGTGTTCATGTCCGATTACAATTGGATACAGCGTCAGATATCACATTGATCTCTAAACGAACATGGAATTTAATTGGTTGTCCACAAGTATTACCTACTGAGCATACTGCACGAAATGCATCCGGAGATATATTAAAGCTTGTTGGAATTATAAAATGCTCTGTTGAATTTCGAGATAACTACTTCACAGGGAATTGTTATTTAACGAACAGACATGACTTAGACCTTATTGGAATAGATTGGATAGATAAACTGAACCTATGGGATGTACCATTGAGTGAAATATGCATGATGAAGTGCACAAATAGTCCCAGAGATCTACCCATGGTTCATGTAGCTAAGAAAGCCATAACGATAGAAGACCTCTTACAGAAACACAAGAAGTTGTTCCAGAATAAATTGGGATGCTGTACCATTGGAAAGGCAAAGTTATATTTACGACAGGACGTAAAACCTGTTTTTTGTCCAAAACGCCAAGTCCCGTATGCAGCCACCGATAAAGTTGACAAGGAATTAGATCGATTAGAGAAACTGGGTGTTATACAACCGGTTAATTATTCAGCATGGGCAGCACCAATAGTAGTAGTGCAGAAAGCAAACGGAACTATTCGCTTGTGTGCAGACTTTTCAACAGGATTAAACGATGCTTTACAAAATCACTCATATCCACTTCCCTTGCCAGAAGATTTATTTATTAAACTAAACGGTGGACGTTACTTTTCCAAACTCGATCTATCTGAAGCTTACTTACAAGCAGAAGTTGACGAAGATTCGAGGGAGTTATTAACCATTAATACCCACCGTGGACTTTACCAGTTTAGCCGATTACCTTTTGGCGTAAAACCAGCTCCAGCAATTTTCCAACAGATTATGAATACCATGTTGTCTAACCTTGAAGGTGTAGCAGTTTATTTGGACGATATTATAGTTGTTGCCTCTTCTGCCCACGAACTAATGAGTCGGTTAGACGTAGTGTTTAATAGAATATCGCAAGCTGGTTTTCAATTACAAAAAGAAAAGTGTCAATTTATGCTAGATTCTGTTAAATATCTTGGATATATATTTGATAAAGATGGTCGCCGGCCAGATCCAGATAATATAAATGCCATCAAAAATATGCCCACACCAACTGATGTTACAACTCTCCGTTCATTCTTGGGGATGATTGGATATTATAGTGTGTTCGTACCCCAGATGTATAAATTGAGACACCCGTTAAATCAACTTTTGATGGCTAGTGCAAAATGGTACTGGACAAAAGAATGCCAATATTCTTTCGACGAAATAAAAAGGATTTTATCTTCTAAATTATTGTTGACTCATTACAATCCTAAGCTTGAAATAATTGTTGCCGCTGATGCTTCCAACTATGGAATTGGGGCTGTTATCAGCCATCGTTTTCCTGATGGTAAAGAAAAGCCGATTGCTCATGTATCCCGAACACTTAACCCAGCTGAACGAAAATATAGTCAAATTGAAAAAGAAGGATTAGCTATAGTTTTTGCAGTAAAGAAATTTCATAAAATGATTTATGGACGTCGATTTACTCTTCTAACAGATCACAAGCCGCTTTTATCTATATTTGGATTGAAGTCAGGCATTCCTGCATATACAGCTAATCGATTACAACGCTGGGCTATTACACTACTTGCTTATGATTTCCGAATTCTATATAAATCAACTGAAAAGTTTGGACAAGCTGATGTTTTATCTCGATTAATTGCGAATCAGAAGCAGGAAAGCGAAGATTCTATTATTGCAACGACATCATTGGAAGAAGATATCCACCAAATACTACAAGTTGCTATAAAAGCAACACCATTATCCGCTGAAGATATTAGACGCTACACTCAAGAAGATGGCGAGCTGAAACGGATTATAAGTTACCTTGAACATGGTTGGTCTTCTCATATAGACAACAAAAATATTGAACAGTATGCTCACCGACGAAATTCTTTATCGCTTGTGGACGGGTGCCTAATGTTTGGAAATCGAGTTATTGTACCCACAAGCCTACGCCGGAAGGTGATGTTAGAACTGCACGCTGCACACCCAGGGGTAGCGCGGATGAAAGCACTTGCACGCGGTTATGTATATTGGCCGAATATTGATGCGCAGATTGAAGAATATGTTGCGAAATGTTCAGCATGTGCAAAAGCCATGAAAGCCCCTCGCAAGACCGAAGTGCAGAGTTGGGGAACACCATCAAATCCGTGGTCAAGAGTTCATGTAGATTTTGCTGGTCCTATAAACGGTAAACAGTTCTTGATAATCATTGATGCTTTCTCTAAGTGGCCAGAAGTCCACTATATGAAATATGTCTCAACACAAGCTACAGTGAAGAAACTGAGGCAAGTATTCAGTTGTTTTGGGTGTCCAGATATATTGGTGTCAGACAATGGACCACAGTTTACATCTGCTGAATTTTCGAGGTTCTGCATTGCCAATGCCATTAGGCATATCAAGACACCCCCATACCATCCACAGTCTAACGGCTTAGTCGAAAGGTTCGTGGACACTTTTAAAAGAGCATTGCTTAAAGCCGAAGGGGAAGGAGAAATAGAAGATATAATTCAACGATTTTTACTAAGCTACCGCGCAACTCCCAACCCAGCAACAAATAATCAAGAAAGCCCGGCAGAAGTAATTTTTGGAAGAAAGATTAGAATACCTATGGAACAAATGAAGCCAAAACCTGAAATCATTCAATGCAAGAATAAACGAATGGAACTGCAATTTAACAAAAGGCATGGTGCCTTACCCAGAAGGTTTAATGTAGGACAAGCAGTAATGGCAAGAGATTTCCAGGGAGTAAAGCCAACCTGGAAATTTGGCATCATAGTCCGAAGAAAAGGGAAAGTTATTTATGAAGTGAAAGTTGGACAGAAGATTTGGGTACGACATGCAAACCAGATACAGCCGACCAGACAGGAGTGGGAGATAGAAAGTGATAGAAAGCATGATATACCATTAAATATATTAACCGAGTCGGATAATGAAATTAAAAAGGACCCGAATAAAAAGAAGACGTGTACAACACTCCCAAGGCGGTCGCAGCGCATCAGGCGGGAACCTAATCGTATAAAAATAAATCCCAAGGATCGCTATTATCCATGATGCTTCAAAAAAGGGGGAGGTGTTATATACTAGGAAAAAGTAAGTACTGATAACTTACGGGACCTCTTATTAGACTATTAATCCATTTATATTCCTATTGGATAGTTGTTAAATAAGTGACCTAATCGTTTCCGTGTTCCTCTTATCATAACCTTTATTTTGACCTTGGAACTATTATTATTGATTACTTCCCCCCTAGCTACAGCCACATTGGCCAATTATTGTACAAATGTTATTTTTCTATTTTTGATATATGTGGTCTGTTTGGTTAGTATATATAACCCAGTATGCTTGTAAATAATGATTCATACTGCTGAGGCTGTTATTTGTGTTCTGACTTAACGGGCTGGGCTAGGCAGATAGGAAGGACCGAATAGCACCCAAGACTGCTCGTACGTATTTCATGTATCATTGAACGTTTATGTATTAAGAGGGCATACGTTATAACAATTGGCGACGGGGATTCTGGAAAAAAATACAGCAGTCGGTGACGTCATTTTGGAATTAAATAATCCATAATAATTGCCGGTGTTCTTTTCTTTGGATTTATTATTATTATTCTCATTTTTTTTTAAAAAAATATGTCAATTTCTCCAGCACAGCTACAGTTAATATTTCAGCAGCAGCAGCAACAGATGTTAGCTTGTCAACAACAACTCCTGGAAGCACTTTTGGGGAAAATGTCTATTCAGCAAGATATTCCAGAACATAAAAGCATAGAGTCATATCTTAATCCAATTCCAGAATTTATTTTCGATGCAGACAGCGGTCACACTTTTGAAGCATGGTTTGGCAGAATTGAAGATATTTTTCGAGTAGAATTTGCTGCTATGGAGGACACAAAGAAAGTCCGGTTGCTCTTACAGAAACTTGGTCCTAACGAGCATCAGAAGTATAAAAACCATATCCTGCCCAAACATCAACGAGAGATTAGTTTCGATGAAACTGTTAACATTCTAAATAAAATGTTTTCTGAACAGATGTCTTTATTTCGTATCCGGTATAATTGTCTACAACTGACTAGAGAAGCTGATGAGGATTATACTACGTATGCCGGAAGAGTAAATTTACAAGCGGAACGATTTAAATTAAATGTGTTAACCAGTGATCAATTTAAATGCTTATTATTTATTTCTGGTCTGAATTCTCCCAGCGATGCTGATGTTCGCATGAAGTTATTATCTCGTATGGAACATGACGAAGAAATGACGCTACAAACCGTTACTGGTGAGTGTCAACGATTAATAAACTTGAAACAGGATTCGGCTATGTTAGAAACCAAAAGTGCTGCACCATCTAATCATTCTGTCAATGCTGTTAAGACAAGTCAACGACAAAAAAGTGCCAAAAGTTATAAACATCACACAAAAATTCCTAAACCTTCAACGAAATGTTGGTATTGCGGCTCGTGGCACTTTTCAAGATTTTGCAGATTTAGAAATCATAGATGCACGGTGTGCAATAAACTTGGTCATAAAGAATCAGTTTGCCGGACAAGAGAAAATTTGAGATCAAAGCCTACGAAGCGTCCTCACCAGTTTCAAAACAAATATATTAACAGTATATATTCTACACGAGCTCTAAGTATGGCAGATAAAAGAAGGTATGTGGAATTATCGGTTAATGGTGTTCATGTCCGATTACAATTGGATACAGCGTCAGATATCACATTGATCTCTAAACGAACATGGAATTTAATTGGTTGTCCACAAGTATTACCTACTGAGCATACTGCACGAAATGCATCCGGAGATATATTAAAGCTTGTTGGAATTATAAAATGCTCTGTTGAATTTCGAGATAACTACTTCACAGGGAATTGTTATTTAACGAACAGACATGACTTAGACCTTATTGGAATAGATTGGATAGATAAACTAAACCTATGGGATGTACCATTGAGTGAAATATGCATGATGAAGTGCACAAATAGTCCCAGAGATCTACCCATGGTTCATGTAGCTAAGAAAGCCATAACGATAGAAGACCTCTTACAGAAACACAAGAAGTTGTTCCAGAATAAATTGGGATGCTGTACCATTGGAAAGGCAAAGTTATATTTACGACAGGACGTAAAACCTGTTTTTTGTCCAAAACGCCAAGTCCCGTATGCAGCCACCGATAAAGTTGACAAGGAATTAGATCGATTAGAGAAACTGGGTGTTATACAACCGGTTAATTATTCAGCATGGGCAGCACCAATAGTAGTAGTGCAGAAAGCAAACGGAACTATTCGCTTGTGTGCAGACTTTTCAACAGGATTAAACGATGCTTTACAAAATCACTCATATCCACTTCCCTTGCCAGAAGATTTATTTATTAAACTAAACGGTGGACGTTACTTTTCCAAACTCGATCTATCTGAAGCTTACTTACAAGCAGAAGTTGACGAAGATTCGAGGGAGTTATTAACCATTAATACCCACCGTGGACTTTACCAGTTTAGCCGATTACCTTTTGGCGTAAAACCAGCTCCAGCAATTTTCCAACAGATTATGAATACCATGTTGTCTAACCTTGAAGGTGTAGCAGTTTATTTGGACGATATTATAGTTGTTGCCTCTTCTGCCCACGAACTAATGAGTCGGTTAGACGTAGTGTTTAATAGAATATCGCAAGCTGGTTTTCAATTACAAAAAGAAAAGTGTCAATTTATGCTAGATTCTGTTAAATATCTTGGATATATATTTGATAAAGATGGTCGCCGGCCAGATCCAGATAATATAAATGCCATCAAAAATATGCCCACACCAACTGATGTTACAACTCTCCGTTCATTCTTGGGGATGATTGGATATTATAGTGTGTTCGTACCCCAGATGTATAAATTGAGACACCCGTTAAATCAACTTTTGATGGCTAGTGCAAAATGGTACTGGACAAAAGAATGCCAATATTCTTTCGACGAAATAAAAAGGATTTTATCTTCTAAATTATTGTTGACTCATTACAATCCTAAGCTTGAAATAATTGTTGCCGCTGATGCTTCCAACTATGGAATTGGGGCTGTTATCAGCCATCGTTTTCCTGATGGTAAAGAAAAGCCGATTGCTCATGTATCCCGAACACTTAACCCAGCTGAACGAAAATATAGTCAAATTGAAAAAGAAGGATTAGCTATAGTTTTTGCAGTAAAGAAATTTCATAAAATGATTTATGGACGTCGATTTACTCTTCTAACAGATCACAAGCCGCTTTTATCTATATTTGGATCGAAGTCAGGCATTCCTGCATATACAGCTAATCGATTACAACGCTGGGCTATTACACTACTTGCTTATGATTTCCGAATTCTATATAAATCAACTGAAAAGTTTGGACAAGCTGATGTTTTATCTCGATTAATTGCGAATCAGAAGCAGGAAAGCGAAGATTCTATTATTGCAACGACATCATTGGAAGAAGATATCCACCAAATACTACAAGTTGCTATAAAAGCAACACCATTATCCGCTGAAGATATTAGACGCTACACTCAAGAAGATGGCGAGCTGAAACGGATTATAAGTTACCTTGAACATGGTTGGTCTTCTCATATAGACAACAAAAATATTGAACAGTATGCTCACCGACGAAATTCTTTATCGCTTGTGGACGGGTGCCTAATGTTTGGAAATCGAGTTATTGTACCCACAAGCCTACGCCGGAAGGTGATGTTAGAACTGCACGCTGCACACCCAGGGGTAGCGCGGATGAAAGCACTTGCACGCGGTTATGTATATTGGCCGAATATTGATGCGCAGATTGAAGAATATGTTGCGAAATGTTCAGCATGTGCAAAAGCCATGAAAGCCCCTCGCAAGACCGAAGTGCAGAGTTGGGGAACACCATCAAATCCGTGGTCAAGAGTTCATGTAGATTTTGCTGGTCCTATAAACGGTAAACAGTTCTTGATAATCATTGATGCTTTCTCTAAGTGGCCAGAAGTCCACTATATGAAATATGTCTCAACACAAGCTACAGTGAAGAAACTGAGGCAAGTATTCAGTTGTTTTGGGTGTCCAGATATATTGGTGTCAGACAATGGACCACAGTTTACATCTGCTGAATTTTCGAGGTTCTGCATTGCCAATGCCATTAGGCATATCAAGACACCCCCATACCATCCACAGTCTAACGGCTTAGTCGAAAGGTTCGTGGACACTTTTAAAAGAGCATTGCTTAAAGCCGAAGGGGAAGGAGAAATAGAAGATATAATTCAACGATTTTTACTAAGCTACCGCGCAACTCCCAACCCAGCAACAAATAATCAAGAAAGCCCGGCAGAAGTAATTTTTGGAAGAAAGATTAGAATACCTATGGAACAAATGAAGCCAAAACCTGAAATCATTCAATGCAAGAATAAACGAATGGAACTGCAATTTAACAAAAGGCATGGTGCCTTACCCAGAAGGTTTAATGTAGGACAAGCAGTAATGGCAAGAGATTTCCAGGGAGTAAAGCCAACCTGGAAATTTGGCATCATAGTCCGAAGAAAAGGGAAAGTTATTTATGAAGTGAAAGTTGGACAGAAGATTTGGGTACGACATGCAAACCAGATACAGCCGACCAGACAGGAGTGGGAGATAGAAAGTGATAGAAAGCATGATATACCATTAAATATATTAACCGAGTCGGATAATGAAATTAAAAAGGACCCGAATAAAAAGAAGACGTGTACAACACTCCCAAGGTGGTCGCAGCGCATCAGGCGGGAACCTAATCGTATAAAAATAAATCCCAAGGATCGCTATTATCCATGATGCTTCAAAAAAGGGGGAGGTGTTATATACTAGGAAAAAGTAAGTACTGATAACTTACGGGACCTCTTATTAGACTATTAATCCATTTATATTCCTATTGGATAGTTGTTAAATAAGTGACCTAATCGTTTCCGTGTTCCTCTTATCATAACCTTTATTTTGACCTTGGAACTATTATTATTGATTACTTCCCCCCTAGCTACAGCCACATTGGCCAATTATTGTACAAATGTTATTTTTCTATTTTTGATATATGTGGTCTGTTTGGTTAGTATATATAACCCAGTATGCTTGTAAATAATGATTCATACTGCTGAGGCTGTTATTTGTGTTCTGACTTAACGGGCTGGGCTAGGCAGATAGGAAGGACCGAATAGCACCCAAGACTGCTCGTACGTATTTCATGTATCATTGAACGTTTATGTATTAAGAGGGCATACGTTATAACAA